TTTTTGGCTTTGGGAAAAATTTTTTTTTTTTTTTTTTTTTTTAAAAAGCAAGCCCACAGAAAGAGTGAGACCTTGAAGGTTCAATATTGGATAGAGTCAAGATGACAGAAAAGTCAAATAATTGCTATGCAGTAGTACAGAGTTAAAGTATCCAGTCACCTAAGCTTGAAACCTTTCAGAATGTTCCCAAATAATTCTCCTTCTGGAAGCCCCTATTTAGTGCCATAAATTAATATTTAAGGTGATTATCCCTTTGCTGCTTTAACTACAAGCCTACTATTACGCCACGCTTGGTTTCTATTCTCTTGTCCAAGGATTTCCTTCGCAAGTTACTTGCAAGGTTTTATGGCAGTATTTGCATATTTAATTAAAGCAACTATTTCTGATAACCTTGTAAAAACATTACTTGACATATATTGTTAAACCATTAACTGTAGTGAGCTCTAAATATTGATTTGAGAAATAAGTTCTTCGCTTGGGAACAGGATGATGTGTGGTATTAATCGTACAGATGAAGGCCTTGATTTATCCATATTAACTAAGAATTGTAACCTCCTCCTTCCAAGGTTCCTCTCTCAGAAATTTCCCAGTGCTTGCTGAACTGAAAGGAGTATGAACCCAGGAGGAACCTTTTCTTTCTTTTTACAAGAAGGCTTGGGAGTCTTTAGTACTTGTTCTTATGGATTGTGGGAAAACAAACACCAGTTTGTAATCTACAGCATAAGGAGTGTTTTGATAATAATTTATGAATCCCTACCAACAATTTCTAGTTTGCAGTTGCACATTAAAGACAGTTATTCCCAATAGGCGAACTAACATCACATATGCAGTGACCTTCAAAATGCACTCAGTTGAAAAAACAAAGTTATAGAAATGCCAGATAAGAAATGTTAGAAGTGTATAAACTTTGTCAGTACCTGGTTCTGGGAACTGATGTGGGGAGAAAGCAAGGTAAAAAACTAAGAATCTTTTTGGATATGCTACATCTCCCTAAAATATAATCATTCTATCCTGACAAACCCATGACTTACATTTAGTATGCCCACATTTTGTGTAAAACAACAGTAAGATATGAAATAGTACTTTTTTAAAAGCAGCTGTACATTTATTACTAGTCAGGAATTACTTGGCACAGGTCTAGGAAATGTATGTAGAGAAGTAACCCCGTTAACTGCAGTAACCCCTTTAACCGTACTGGTTACAGTTCCAGTACAATGACTTTCTAGTTGCTTAAGGTCTATATATTGGATCATTTGGTGGAACTCCATGCCCCCTGTTATGTAGAGGGTCAGAATAAAAAATGCTCTCTCCTGGCGCTTAAATTGAAGGCCTATAGCTTGGCATGAGACCAGAGAGGCAGAGGTCCAGATACTTGTCATCTGTTATCCGCTAGTAAATACACAGTCTGTGCTACTTATTTAAAATGCTGCTCTGACTTTTAATACCTTCAACTGGCTGCTGGAATGGACCCAGAGCCTTTAATAGACATTCAGGGCATTGGCTCTTCTTGTTTTAGGTTAGATGTCTCTGAGTATAAATAGCTTAGTTTTAAAGCTCTCTAGAAGGGGCCAATTAAAAAGACTCAATGCTTTAATTTTTTTTAACGTTGCACATGCACACTAATCTTGGCACACTGAACTTCATGTTGTGGATGCTCAAACATGATGCTGTCTGAACCTACTTAAAAGCTCATGTGCTGTTAGTAAGGTAATGGATTAAGATAGTGGTTTTCAACTTTTCATTTGGAGACCTAAACAATTTTGAATGGAGGTGCAGATTCTTTTTGGAAGCTTTGAATGGAGGTATGGATCCCTTTGAATTGTAAGAATAGGTATTCACATACTTTTGACTTATCATAGTCATCTTTTGTGGACCCCTTAGACACACAGTCTGTGGACCCCCAGGGGCCTACAGACCACAGGTTGAAAACCACTGTATTAAAATATTAGTGCTTGATAAACATGAGTTGGAATAAGTAAAATTGACAATATCTAAGAAATAGTTCTGTGTAGTCTACCTACTCTTAAATGTGGCAAGGCAAACCAAAGATGTGTGACAATAACAAGTAAAGATACCATGAATTAGAAAGTGAGGTGTTGGGCTACTAGCCGTTAACTTACAACCTCACTGATGTTAGTGCAATTTCATGGAACATTATCCAGAGTGAAATTTGGCTTGGGACATTTAGGGTGTCTGTACACATGCAGGGATGCTGTTCTGACACGTTTTAATTATTTTATGTCAAAGCAAATTCGATTAATCAAGCCTGCTGGAACATGCTAATTAGCATGCTCCAGCAGACTCTGTGTGTCGTGTATTCGGCATCCCTGCACTTCAGAATGGTAGCAGGGACACTTTAATTAAAGCTCAGAGAATGAGCTGTAGTAAAAGCTCCCCACTACTATTTTGAAGCACAGGATGCTGAATAAATCAGAAGCTGTGGATGCTTTAATTAGAGCATCTCTCAGAACCCCTCTAATTAAAGCACCCCACTCCCACTCCTTGAGCATATATGTAAAGATGCCTGTAGTGATCACTGGATTCAGTAAACATAGGCATATGGGAACGAGAAGAACTAAATAACAAATTTTACTGTGGAGCTGCTGGCAACCTGCAAATTCTTGGTCTCTCTTTAACTAGCTCCCTGCTCCCTGACAGAGGGACATTATCCCAGTTCCCAACTCCCTCAGTCTCCAGTTGGGGAGCATCTCTATATTATAACTGCTATCACTAAAGGACAAACTTGTTTTTAATGTGGAATTTGTCCCCTTGTGGCAGGTCAGCAAAAAGCCGTCTGTTGCAGAAGGCCTAAATGGAAGAGAAAAAATGCAGATTCTGCGTTTTTCCATGGCAAAAAGAAAATTAGGATCCCTGAATATAACAGTCCCAATGCCATGGAAGGATGCATAACGTGCTAAAAATGACAGTCAGAGTGCTTTAATTAAAGCTCATAGATTGAGCTCTAGCTAAAGCACCCTGCTGCCATGGACAGTAAAGTGAACAGGTACCATATCAGATGTAATCATTTCTTTTTGCTTCTAGGGAAGCTTTCTGACACATGATCAAACCTATTTGTGGCTTGTCTGCAGAAGATAGTTTAAAGGATACAATACAGTTGTGAAGTTTTGTATACAACTATTATAATAATAAATACATCCTAGAAAAGATATAAATTGTGTAATTTTTTTTGGCTGTGGGGCTTCCAAAACAGCTTTAATCTTCTGTTGAGGTTTATAGAGGCCTTCTGCATCGCTAATAGTATGTGGACATACTATTAATTGACTCTGAAAAATTTGGGTT